AATGACTGCTTCCACTTAATTCAGAGTCAGTACTGTCCCATCCCCTGGTCTCCCCAGACAAGTATCTCAGAGACACTGTAGTGATTAAGGCTGGCCAGCCTTAGCTGATACAAACTCCTTTTATTCATCCAATGGCCAGAAGGGAGCTGGCACAGAAAGTATGTGCTTCCAATAGGCATTGTTGGAACAAGCAAGGGAGGAAACCAGGGGAGATGGTACCACATGAGGAGGATGCAGTGTGATAAAGTCAGGGCTGGGGGCACTGCCCTCACTGGGAAGGTGCCTTTGACTGTACAAGGAAAACCTTGCAAAATCAGGGCAAGCCTGGCGCTTGGTGCAAGGGGGTAACTGATCTAACCAACCATTTCTCAGAAGTAGACTCTCTCTGGGAACCAGGGATATTAAGAACTATTAAGATCCTATCGTATTAATCTCAGTTTTGCTTTTTCCTTTTGGTTTATGTGGAATGTCCATTAGTGAGGAGAGGGGCACAGTAGTGAAGTTTACTCAACTCAATCTTAACATCTACATGTTCAGCAAATCTCCTTCTCAGAAACAAAACCCAACTATTGTACTTTACTTTTTCATCTTGACTATCAAGTCTTCCAGCAGAAATGTATAAAAATAAATTTAACCAACAGTATTAAACCAAATCACCTAGAAGCTGATAATGAGATGCCCAACCCTTCTCACAGCAGTCCAAAATAAATACACCTTTTACAAACATACTCGTGGAGACTGCACATGGTTCTAGAACTAATAGGCCAAAAGGACCCAGAAGTGAGTGAATACCAGCAATGCACAGGCTTACCCATGGTGAGGCCGGTAGTAGGAACCCACACCCGCAAGCTGCTAACTAGCTGGATGCTGCAGCCCCCACCCCTCAGGCTCTTGGGAAGGCAGAATTTAGATGCTGGCAAAGTGAAAGGCACTTCAGGAGTGCTCAGGTGTTCTCACAAAAGACATGAAACAACATGGACAGTAGCAATTGCAAATACATATCCATCTTCACCAGTCACCTTTCCCCTAAAAAGCACAAATTGACACGATGCCGTGGGAGCCCTGAAGGCCACCAACAACGTGCTCTGTCAGTAAGAGCAGGGCCTGCTCTACCACACCGTGACTGTCCAGCCATGCCTTTGCCCAGCTCCTTCTAAGCCGCTCAGGGAAGGAGGCTGCTTGGCATAGGTAGTCACTTTAGGATGCTGAGGGAGGGCCACCTGGAAGAGCAACTTCAAACTGCCCATGCTGAGTCTTCATGCCCTATCTTAAACCCCTTCTACAGTTTGCATTCACTTGCTATACAGCCCACCCCACATACACACATGGCCACTAAAGACCTCTGGCCTTCTCCAGTAAGACTGAGAAAACACCAATTAGCATTAGCCTAGTGGATGCTGCTGATAGAAGGGGTGGGCTAAGGGCAGAACATGGAAAGGACACATTGTATTGTTTCTTCATTATCTTGCTCAGTGCCTGGCTAATGTCCAGGGAATGACTGAACAAAGGAGGCCGAATTCGCTGGGGGAAACTTCCCAAGGCAGAGTCCCAGACTAGGACCTTCTGATCACACGAGTTCCCTGTGGACGGCCCAACACTTTCCACAGAGCTGCTGGGAAGTGCTCTCTTCACTCTGTGGAAGCCTCATAGCCAACACCATGAGAGATTAACTTATACTAAGCAAAATACCTCTGGGAAGGGTGGCATTCAGCACCTTGTAAGATTAGGGGTTCCCCATTTTGGCTCTACTGACATTTGAGGTCAGATCACTCTTTGTTGTGGGGGCTGCCCTGTGCACTGTAGGGCATTTAGAGCATCCCTGTAGCACCCCCTCCCCAAGTTGAGACACCAAGAATACGTTGAGAACCAAGAGTGTAAATGAATCAGATTACTCTCCCAGTACCGTATTAAGGGAAGTGAAATTTCTTAAAAGAAGTTCAAGAAAGAAGTAGGTAATTGGGAGGCAAGAAGCCTGGCTGGTGTGTGTGTGTGTGCGGGGGCGAGGCGGGGGGAGCACACTCCTGGGTAGGAGGAAGACTGCATGTGAATGTGTGGTTGCACCCACAGTGCTATCTAGATTTGTATCTGTGTCCAGGAGAGAACTTAAGTTTCTTCTTCACTCTCTCTCTTCCCTCTTTGGATCATAAACTAGGCTAATAGTCATAGTCATAAAATGGAACTACAGTCTGGGCCTGAGTTCTCTGTCACTGTCTAAAAAATACATCTTGAGTTTGTGAAACGTTGAACAGAGACCATTGCTAAGGTGTGCAATATCCACATTTCCATTTTCTCAAGAAGGAAAACCCAAGCATTGAGAAGAAACAGCAGCCATACTAGGTCACTCAAAGAAAAGAAAAAATAGTGTAATTGTAGCAATGGAATTAAACCCTATGCTGTGTTCAGCTTGCATCTTTATAACCCCCAGCTCAGAACTAGGACTGAGCTCTCAGGGGCAAAACTTTTAAGTGTTTATTAACAAAATCAGGCACACACAGTGATAAAGACTTCTGTGGACACAGTGACTAGCTATTGATGTTTTCACTTGCCATGTAGTGTGTAGCCCTGAAGGAACCTCCGCAAGTCACTTAATTACTTTCTAGATTTTATGAAAGGGCAGATCTGCTGTCTAGCAGCCCCTGGAGCAGAGTGGACACAGGTAAACTGCTGCCCCTGAACGGGGACTTCACAGGGACTCACTTCCAAATGATAGAGAAGATACATTCCAAGTAAAAACACACTGAAATTTTCATTTTTCTGCCTTTGTAAAATTGTCTTCCTGCTGCCCCTCTTTGCTGGTAAGGGCATGATTGTGTATATGTCCATTCTATCACCTGACTGTGCAGGGAGTTCCCATTCTGGGGGTGGAGGCCAGTGAGTAGGTGCTAAGACAACAA